GATATGTTTTATATATATATATATATATATATATATATATAAAACATAGTTAAAAAATGTAAGATGAAGCTGAATTGTGAGTGGGTTAAAGTCATTTTTGAGTTGACTAAAGCAGATTATCTGTGGTACCGATCTTAATCTGGGTTAATTCCACATTTCAATCATTTCTACAAGTATTTCTACAAGTATTTCTACAAGTACATTGATTACTTTCTGAAAGTGGTTCAGGTGATAATTTCCTAACAGAGTTGGCTTAAGTGTTAATGCCAACTGTTTCATGTAAAGATATTATTAATAGTACTCTGAGGTTGTGTTGAGGATGACTTACAGCTATTATCACACCAAACATTAGCTTAATATTTGTGAAACTGACCGAGTCAGCCATTTTCATATCAACTAACGTTGATTAAGTATGGTGGCCATCTTGAATAGCGTTGACTCCAAGATTGAATCTGTTCCATATGTGTGAGGATTCCTTAATGTTTCTCCCCCTTTTGATCTATTCCAGCTCCTGCCATCCTGTTCCTAATTGTCCTTTCCCCAGGTGTCTGTTATTGTCTGTTGTTAGGGTTTTGTATTTACCATAATTTTTGGACTATAAATGCACTTAAAATCCTTTATTTTCTCAAAAATCGACATTGAGCCTTATGTTTTAATTCTGGTTGTGCTTACTGACCTAAAATCGATATTATGTGGTACAACTGAACAATGTTGAAAGTTATTGTGAATGAGCTGAATAAAGTTTGCCTTATCTGATTGTTTTGTTTCGCTTAATGTGCCTTATGTATGAAAACAGACCCGTTCGTTGATATTGCGCCATATAATCAGGTGCGTCTTATAGTCCGAAAAATACGGTAAGTCTTTGTCTCTATGTTCCCCATATCTGCTCATTGTCCTGCATCTTGTTCTGTCTCCCTCCGTGTCTCCACGTTCTCTACCGTTTTGTAAGTACTGCTGCCACGTCAGCCCTTTTTTTTCCCCATTATTAATAAATGTTTTTTTTAATTTTACCACTTGAGTTCCCTGTGTCTGCC